GGCTTAAAAATACATTTTTAATGTCATAATATTCAAGTTTTTCTAACAAGAATTTGCAGGATACACAGTTGAATGCTTTGGAAATGAGAAGAGCATGTTGATGTTCTTCAAGACCCCCCACATTTTGCCAAATGTGTTAATTTTATCAAAATTTTCATCAACTTGAATAAAACAATAATTATTGATATTGGTTTATAGTTATTAGCCTCATGTAAATCCACTTTAGATTTTAAGCAGAGTCGGAACATCTGGGGGTACTTTATAGAAGGTCATTTTTATATTTTATGGAATATATCTGTTATTTATGTTTAGATAAGAAAATTGTTCAAATAAAAGTTATTTCTAATAATATTCTCTATAATTTTTGTCATATACAAAATTTTCCTAAAATGGACCGTATTCGAGATATTTGAAAAATAGTGCAAATTTTGAATTTTGAAGAAAACTCAAAAACGAATAAAGCGAAAAACACCAAATTTTAAACTTAAGCTTTATATCGACTTGAGATTAATTGACTAGATTTTGGACTGAGTCGGAACGTCTGGGGGGGTACTTTATAGGGGATCATTTTTATATTTTATGGAATATATCTGTTATTTACATATGGAGAAGAAAATTCTTCAAATAAAAGTTAATTCAAGTGTTATTCTCTATAATTTTTGTACTGTACAAAATTTCTCTAAAATGGACCGTATTCGAGATATTTGAGAAAATGTATAAATTTCGAATTTTGAAGAAAACTCAAAAACGGATAAAGAGAAAAATACCAAATAATAAATTTTAGCTTTATTCCGATCTGCGGTGAACTGATTAGATTTTGTGCAGAGTCGGAACATTTGGGAGGGTACTTTATAGGGGTTCATTTATATATAATAATAATAATAATAATAATAAATTGCCTTTATTTGCTTGTAATATACAATGCACATAAACATCATGAGGCGAAGTCTAGCTTGCGCTACTCAACTTAACCTCAACATAAATATAAATTTAAAATAATCAAAAGGTATCCATCATTTACAATATAAAAAAAAATAAGAAATTTAATATACAATTAATTTATGATTAAAAATGTTAACCCTGTATTTAATCTAAACTGAAATCAATGGAACTTAAAATACAATTAAATAAGGAAAAATGTTTGAAATTAATAATATATTAACGTTAGCACTGTATTCATTGCTCAACTAATAGCAACGTTTTATAATTTTGTTTCAAAAATGTCAAAGAACATGTCCTAATTTCCCTAGGTAGACTGTTATATATTGAAATGGCGTTATATGTGAAAGATCTTTTGAAAAATGATAATCGGTAATTCGGAATCGTTAAGTTGTGTGGATATCTTAAATGTAAACTGTGCAGATCCTTCCGATATATCAATTTATTTTTTAAGTATATGGGAGTTGAGGTTAAAAGAATTTGAAATACCGTGGCCGCCATCTGATATTTAAATAAATTTCCTATATTGAGCCAGCTAAGTTCTTTAATTTTATTTGATATTCTATCATACTTTCTGATACCAAATACAAAACGACAACAACAATTTTGAATCTTTTGAAGTCTGTATTTGGTTATTTGATCCAAACAAGGATAGTAAATTAAAAGTCCATAATTTAGGATGGACAATACAAGACTTTCACAAAGCAACTTACGTAATTTGAAACTCAAAATACCTCGATTCCTGTATAATTGACGAATAACCAGATACGATTTTTTGACTAGGAGCGAAACATAGTCCTGAAACCTTAATTTGCAGTCATAAATAATGCCTAAGTTTTTGGCACTTCTACAAGATTTTAGAGGTTCATTTTGAATGAATAGCTTAAGGTTCTGTTGTACATTATGTTCTATATTTTTAGGACAAAATAATATTGTATGACATTTACTGGCATTTAGTTTAAGGTTATGATTCATAGAAAATGTATATACTGCATTTAAATCTGAATTCATGTTTTGCGAGGCTATATCTACTTCACATGGGTCAAAGGAATAATATAGTTGCGTGTCGTCAGCAAAAGAGTGTATATTTACATGCTCCAATAATTTATAAAGGTCTGAAATATATATGGAAAACAAAAGGGGACCAAGAACCGAGCCTTGGGGTACTCCTGATGTTACACACATAAAGTTTGATGATTTCTCTAACGTTACTTTTTGGTAGCGGTTACTTAAATAAAATTTGAAAAATCTTAGTGAGGTTTCATCGAAACCAAAATATTTGAGTTTGGCACAAAGAAGCTGATGATCTATAGTGTCAAACGCTTTAGAAAAGTCAAGCAGAGTAACTATTGTAGCTTTTCCTTCATCCATTGATCTTATAATGTTATCTGTTAAATCTAATAGTAATGTTGTAGTACTAAACCCCTTTCGAAAACCTGATTGTTTAGTGGTTACAATATTATGAGAAAATACGTATGTATATATTTGTTTACTAATTACTTTTTCTATAATTTTGGACAACGTCGGTAAAATACTTATGGGCCGAAGGTCGCTAAATGTTTCAGGCTTATTTGATTTTGGCAAAGGCTTGATTAAGGAATACTTCCAGCTATCAGGAAAGTAACCAACTTCTAAACAGCAATTTACAATGTGCGTTATGTAAGGAGCACAGACTGAAATAGAAAGTTGTAACATTTTTGCTGAGATGTTATCAATTCCTAATGCGTTTGATTTTAATTCCAAAACTATTGACCTAATTTCATTTACTGTTGCAAGTTTAAAAGAGAAATTAATACCAGGATTAAATAGATTTGAGTTATAATAAGATGTAGTGTAAGGACAACAATTTCTCTGACTGAATACCGACGTAAAATACTTGTTTATATCAGTAGGGTCACTTAAGCCATCAGGAATATGGAATGTAGTTTTATTTGAAATATTCAAGGATTTCATTGCTTTCCAAAGGTCTTTTTTGTTTTGCATGCTTGCACGATAATTTAAATAAGCTGATTTTTCTTTCCTAATTGCACTAGTTACGATATTCCGCATTTCTTTGTAATGAATGAAGTCTAATATATTTTGGGATCTTTTATATTTAGAAAGTGCTTTATCTCGTGTTTTCATCATGTCCCGGATTGTAGGTGTCAACCAATGAGCATACGGTTTAGTAATTTTGGCTTCTACATAAGGAGCATGGTTGTCAAATAATATTGTGATTAGGTTGTTAAAAATCTGTATTTTCTTTTCAATATTATTTTCATAAATAATATTTAGCCACGGCGCACTCACTAGGTCTGCGTTGAAAGCGTTGATTGAGAAATATTTATAACATCTATACGTTTTTAATATGGGAATCTTATAACTAACGTTTAAGTCAATGTCGCAGTAAACAGCACGATGATCTGATAATTGATGATCAATGACTCCTGAATTTAAAACTAAATCTGTCCTATTTGTGAAAATTACATCTAATAGTGTCTGAGAAGTCGTAGTTATACGAGTGGGCTCTGATATTAACTGTGAAAAATTATAAGATTCCATGCAATGATTTATTTGGTTATCAACCAACTGGTTTATGTTTATGTCGCCCGTAATAATAATATGATCAGACTGAGGTAATATATATGATAAAATATTATCAAAATATCCAATAAAGTTTGTAATATTGCAAGTTTCCGTTCGGTAAATAACTCCAATCAAAACCGATGACCTTCCAATTTCTACGGTTATCCAAAGATGCTCAATGCCCTGTACTGGATTGAAATCACCGATGGTTACTGAAGTTTTTAATGTATCACGGACAAAAAATCCTAAACCCCCTCCTCGCGAGCCACGATCATTTCGAAATATCTTGTACCCAGGTATATAAATAGCATGATCTGGAATATCATAAACTAACCACGTTTCTGTCATGCACACTATGTCAATTTTATTTAATGTAACTATATCAACAAACATATCAAACTTAGGGAATAAAGAACGCGTATTAAAATGTACTAACTTTAACTTTTTATTTACAAAACTAGCCATAATCAGTCCTAGATTTAAGATTATCTATTCTGTTTAATAAGTAACTACAGTTAGGGCTGTTTGTGGAATGATCAGTGCTAACGTTTAACTTAAACCTAGAATTAAATAATTTACAATTGTTACAACACAACGATTCAGATGTACAAGCATTTTTTTCGTGAGGACCGGAGCATTTGGGACATGTAATTTCACTGTGACAGTCTGTTTTGTGATGACCAAATTTGCAACATTTAAAACATTTCGTTAAGCTAAAGTGTTCTTTAACATAACATTTAACCCAGCCTACATAAAGAAAACCTTTGTTAGTGATATCATGAAAGAGTTCAGCTGATGTCTCTAGTACCACATTAAAGACATCCTTATACTTCATTTTGGTGATAATTTTTAAATCATTTGTAGTCACATTTAGTTGATTGGCTTCTATAATTTCATTTATTAAATTTGGTTGCTCCACAGATGATGAACTTACATTATGAATCATAAGTCTTGGCTTAAACTTCTTTGGTTCAGTAACGGTGTATGCTTTTCCTACTTTAGAGTTAATACATTTTTTTAAATTATCTAGAGATGCAGAATCACTACAATTTATAAGAATACCATTCTTGATAAGCTTTGTCCCTACCACATTCGCATTTGCAGCACGAGGATTCACCCTATTTCATGAAATATATCTGTTAGTTACATTTGGAGAAGAAAATTCTTCAAATAAAAGTTACTTCTTATTTTATTCTCTATAATTTTTGTTCTATACATAATTTCTCTAAAATGGACCGTAATGGAAAAATTTGAAGAAAACTGTAAAATGGTATTTTCATTGGCAATGAATATATATAAAAAAATGTTTCGAGTAAATATTTAATTTATTTATAAGGGTGATACAATAGGTTGTACAAAATAACCGGAAAAACGCTGTAATAACTAGATAGGAACGTCATATATCATCAGATTCTTTTCTACAGAGCTACAATTTAAAAACAAAGTTTTATATGTAGCGAACCATGTTTAATAATATTAATTACTTTATTTTTCAGCCAGTAATCTCAAAATATCTAGTCAAAGATTGCCACTACATATCAACGTTACTTCTTCAAAAATTTCAAAGAGTTTTTAAATACAAATTTGAGGTAGTTCAAAATTCTGATAAATTTGTTTCATTTGCCATGCTCAACTCCAATATCAGCGACGTTGTGGGTAATTTAGACGAGATCAGAAGACATAGAAGGTAAAAGAAAGGTTCTAAACGAAAAATCAAAAAATCTAAAAAACGAAATATCAAACAATTTCAAATTGTACATAATATTGTTATAAACATAGCAAAATTCATATATTTTGATAAAAAAAATAACACTACAAATATATTTAACATAAAAAATGGTATAGATAACTAAAGTTCCAGTTATTTTTACCATTTTTACTGATAAATTGAATTCTTTTATAAAACTTTTGACAAAATTTCGTCCTTTAAATGAAAGTGTTGCTATACGTTGGTATTTTAATGAACTAAAAATTCATTCCTATCTGCATCAACCCTTCTTCTTATAGTTCCCTAATTTTAAATCGTTATTTCCCGAAATTCCCGCGATTTGCAAATAATTATCGATTTTGTGTTGCTGTGAATCTATCGCGTCCCCTCTACCGTCCCAGAGCATTTTAAAATCGACGCGAAGGCCTGCTGAAGGTGAGCCAGTCAAAAATCGCGGAGATTAATTCAATTTTGATTAAAAAAAATCACTTTGTTGTTTTCTACAAATATATTTAACAAAAAATGGTAGAAATAACTAAAATTCCAGTTATTTCTACCAATTTTACTGATAAATTGAATTCTTTTATAAAACTTTTGACAAAATTTCGTCCTTTAAATGAAAGTGTTGCTATACGTTGGTATTTTAATGAACTAAAAATTTATTCCTATCTGCATCAACCCTTCTTCTGATTTTAAATCGTTATTTCCCGAAATTCCCGCGATTTGCAAATAATTATCGATTTTGTGTTGCTGTGAATCTATCGCGTCCCCTCTACCGTCCCAGAGAATTTTAAAATCGACGCGAAGGCCTGCTGGAGGTGATCTAGTCAAAAATCGCGGAGATTCATTCAATTTTGATAAAAAAACACGGGTTGCACTCCGGGAGTGCCGGCAGAAGTGAAAACTTGAATATTAACGTTGTGCATTTTTGATTTTTTGGAATAGTTAGGGAATAATTTTGAACTAATGCCTATTATTATTATTCCAATTTATTCCAATTTATTCAAATTTATTCCAATTTATTCAAATTTATTCCAATTTATTCCAATTTATTCCAATTTATTCCAATTTATTCCAATTTATTCCAATTTATTCCAATTTATTCCAATTTATTCCAATTTATTTCCAATTTATTCAAATTTATTCCAATTTATTCAAATTTATTCCAATTTATTCCAATTTATTCCAATTTATTCCAATTTATTCAAATTTATTCCAATTTATTCCAATTTATTCCAATTTATTCCAATTTATTCCAATTTATTCCAATTTATTCCAATTTATTCAAATTTATTCCAATTTATTCAAATGTATTCAAATTTATTCCAATTTATTCCAATTTATTCAAATTTATTCCAATTTATTCCAATTTATTCCAATTTATTCCAATTTAATCCAATTTATTCCAATTTATTCCAATTTATTCCAATTTATTCCAATTTATTCCAATTTATTCCAATTTATTCCAATTTATTCCAATTTATTCCAATTTATTCCAATTTATTCCAATTTATTCCAATTTATTCCAATTTATTCCAATTATTCCAATTTATTCCAATTTATTCCAATTTATTCAAATTTATTCCAATTTATTCCAATTTATATATAATTGAAGTAAAAGCAAACTATTGTCCTTTTCTTACAGAAAATTCGTTTGTTTGAACGACAACCTGGACGAATCGAAAGAATCAGAAAACGAACTCGTCAGAGCCATCTTATACGACTTTTATTTATCGTTATTTCCGATTCCTAGTAGGTTCGAACTACCGCAAGAGCTCAGAAATAAATTTGCTTACGTCGAAGAGCTAAACGAGTGGAAATCTAACAGAATGTTGGTCAAAATATGTTTGTACATCTTAATTTTTGTGATATTGTGTTTCATTACTTTTAATTCGTGTAAAAAGATGTGTTATCAGGTAGTTAATAAATTTTTTTGTTGAATTTCGATTTTTATTACGTATAAATAGTACAAATACGTCTTTTGGACGTTCAGGACATCCTTACAAAATATAAAATGTCACTTGGCAATAATATCCCTTTCTTGCAATGAAATTCTTCGTTTTTTTTTGTCTATTTGGCCTTCATTCAATTGGATATTGGGACAATGTCATCTTTAATAATTATTTATAATAAAGCACGTAGAATTGACGTTCTACGGATATCTATTTCTTGACGTCCCGAGGATTTTTACTAAATTGAAAATACTTAAAACGTCCGGTTCAGGACATCCTTACAAAATATAAAATGTCAATTGTCAACAATGTCCCTTTCTTGCAATTATATTCTTCGTTTTTTTTTGTCTATTTGGCCTTCATTCAATTGGATATTGGGACAATGTCATCTTTAATAATTATTTATAATAAAGCACGTAGAATTGACGTTCTACGGATATCATTTCTTGACGTACGGAAGATTTACTAAACTGGACATGCTTTGAAACGTCCAGAATTTGTCCTGGAGGTACAGACGATAAATGGATATGTGATGGACGTTCTTAGGACGTTCTGTGCTATTTGGGTAGTAATCTAAAATTTCAGGTACATTTAAAATTGCATGGTAAGTGAAATTTGTAGATATTTATTGGTTATTCGTTGCTATAATAGCAGAATGACTTTCTACTTTACATGGTATATATTTAAATGTTATTTTTTTTAGGAAATTAACTTGTTTTTAGTTTCACTGATTATTTGAGTTTTTCCTATTCGAGAAATTTTACAAAATGAAGAAAAAACAAGTTTTTATGAAAATTGTTTAAATAAAAGTTGTTTGTGAAATTATTCTCTATAACTCTTGTCCTATAATAATTTCTCTAAAATGGACCGTATTCGAGATATTTGAGAAAATGTATAAATTTCGAATTTTGAAGATAACTCAAAAACGGATAAAGAGAAAAATAGCAAATGTTGAACTTAAGCGTTATTCCGGCCTGCGGTGAAATGATTAGATTTTGGACAGAGTCGGAACATCTGGAGGGTACTTTATAGGATGTCGTTTTTATATTTTATAAAATATACCAGGTATTTATGTTCGGAGAAGAAAATTGTTCAAATAAAAGTTACTTCTAATATTATTCTCTATAATTTTCGTTTTATACAAAATTTTCCTAAAATGGTCCGTATTCGAGAAATTTAACAAAATGTAAAAAATTCAAATTTTTATAAAAATTGTTTAAATAAAAGTTGTTTATAATATAATTCTCTATAATTCTTGTCCTATAATAATTTCTCTAAAATGGACCGTATTCGAGATATTTAAGAAAATGTGTAAATTTGAATTTTGAAGATATCTCAAAAACGGATAAGGAAAAAAACACCAAGTTTTGAACTCAAGCTTTATTTCGGCTTACGGTAAACTGATTAGATTTTGGACAGAGTCGGAACATCTGGGGGGTACTTTATAGGAGGTCGTTTTTATATTTTATAAAATATACCAGGTATTTATGTTTGGAGAAGAAAATTGTTCAAATAAAAGTTACTTCTAATTTTATTCTCTATAATTTTTGTTCTATACAAAATTTTCCTAAAATGGTCCGTATTCGAGAAATTTAACAAAATGTAAAAAATTCAAATTTTTAAGAAAATTGTTCAAATAAAAGTTGTTTGTAATATAATTCTCTATAATTCTTGTCCTATAATAATTTCTCTAAAATGGACCGTATTCGAGATATTTAAGAAAATGTGTAAATTTGAATTTTGAAGATATCTCAAAAACGGATAAGGAAAAAAACACCAAGTTTTGAACTTAAGCTTTATTTCGGCCTACGGTGAACTGATTAGATTTTGGGCAGACATCTGGGGGGTTACTTTATAGAAGTTATTTAAGTTTAGAAAAGAAAATTGTTCAAATAAAAGTTACTTCTAATATTATTCTCCATCTATGTGTTTCCATTGCTGTAATTCATTGGTATAGGGTCTTTAATACCAGTACTCTATTTTTACGTTGAATAAAAACGTCGAAAATATTGAAAAACGTCGAAAAAACGTCAAAAATGTCGAAAAAAACGTCAAAAATATCGAAAAACGTCAAAAATGTCGAAAACAACCTTTCACACTCTGCTCCTTCGGAGCCCTGAACATCAAAAACGTCGGAAATGTTATAAAAAAACGTCGAAAAACGCCAAAAAAGTAGAAAACGGCCTTTCACCCCTGTTCCTTCAGAGCCCACAACGTCAAAAAACGTCGAAAATATAAAAAAAAAAACGTCGAAAATGTTAAAAAATGTTAAAAAAGCGTCGAAAATATCGAAAAACGTCAAAAATGTTAAAAACAACCGTTCACACCCTGCTCCTTCGGAGCCCTGAACATAAAAAACGTCGAAAAAAACGCCAAAAAAGGCGAAAACGACCTTTCATCCCTGTTCCTTCGGAGCCCACAACGTCAAAAAACGTCGAAAATGTAAAAAAAAAAACGTCGAAAATGTTAAAAAAGCGTCGAAAATGTTAAAAAAATTTAAAAAAAAAGTCACAATTCTTGTAGTAATGAGTTATATTCAAAATTTACACATTTTCTCAAATATCTCGAATACGGTCCATTTTAGAGAAATTATTATAGAACAAGAATTATAGATAATTATATAACAAATAACTTTTATTTGAACAATTTTCTTAAAAATTTGATTTTTTTTATATTTTCTAAAATTTCTCGAATACGGACCATTTTAGGAAAATTTTGTATGAAACCAAAATTATAGAGAATAATATTATAAGTAACTTTTATTTGGAGAATTTTCTTCTCCAAACGTAAATAACAGATATATTCCATAAAATACAAAAATTACCTCCTATAAAGTACCCTCAGATGTTCCGACTCTGCCCAAAATCTAATCAGATTACTGCAAGCCCGAAATAATGCTTAAGTTTAAAATTTGGTGTTTTTTTCTTTATCCGTTTTTGAAATATCTTCAAAATTCAAATTTACACATTTTCTCAAATATCTCAAATACGGTCCATTTAACAAAAATTATGTGTAGAACAAGAATTATAGAAAATAGTGCAACAAACAACTTTTATTTAATCAATTTTCAAAAAATATGATTTTTTACATTTTATCAAATTTCTCTAATACGGACCATTTTAGGAAAATTTTGTAAACAAACATTATAGAGAATAATATTAGAAGTAACTTTTATTTGAAGAATTTTCTTCTCCAAATGTAAATAACAGATATATTCCATAAAATACAAAAATTACCTTCTATAAAGTACCCTCCCAGATGTTCCAACTATGACCAAAATCTAATCAGTTCATCTCAGGCCGAAATAAAGCTTAAGTTTAAAATTTGGTGGTTTTCTCTTTATGCGTTTTTGAGTTTTCTTTAAAAATCAAAATTTACACTTTTTCTCAAATATCTCGAATACGGTCCATTTTAGAGAAACTATGTATGGGACAAGAATTATAGAGAATTATATCACAAACAACTTTTATTTGAAGAATTTTCTTCTCCAACCCTAAATAGCAGATATATTCCATAAAATATAAAAGCGACCCTCTTTAAAGTAGCCCCAAATGTTCCGACTCTGCCAAAAATCTAATCAGTTCACTGCAGGTCAAAACAACGCTTTAGTTTAAAATTTAAAGTTTTTCTTTTTGTCCGTTTTTGAGTAATCGTCAAAATTCGAAATTTGCACATTTTCTCAAATATCTCGAATACTGTCCATTTTAGAGAAATTATTATAGGACAAAAATTATATAAGAAGTAACTTTTCCAAACCCCTCAATGGTCAAAAATAATTCATAATTTTTTAATGTTTTTATTTAGATATAGTTTAAAATTCAAATCAAAATGTAAAATGAATAAGAACACCCTATATACGTATAAACGTGATCACACTGTCCTGTTGGCTTCGCTAGTGCCAATTAAATTTGAAAAATATGAAGTAATTATGTACAAACATTAATTAAAAAAATAAAAAGGATAAATTATATTCACTTTTGTTACACAAATTACTAATTTTGAGCAACCAAATGAATTTTATTCAGAAACTAATGTTTAGCCCGCCACCTATGAACTAGTAGATAAACTAAATGACGTGCAACTATTAAAAAATTACAGAAAATTTTAATGCACGCTCCTGACAAAATGATGGCTTCCGAAAGTGCCATTTGACATTTAAATGTCATTCGTGGTTTGACATCCACAATAAAATGTCAAATTCGTTAACAAAAAAAAAAACGACTTCCTATACACCTACCTGGATCGCAGTCTTATATAATTTAAATTTTGTTATGTTTCTTCGAAATTAAAAGTTTTATTTTCAAAAACAATCATGACGAAAGTGTGTCGGTTGTGCTTGATGAAGTTGCAGAGAGGTTCGAAATATTTTAATATCAACGCAGTCGAATCTTTCACTGGGTTTATGCCCTATCGTGACCAATTAACTACGTGCATTCCAGAAATGGTTTGTTTATTGATTTTTTTAAGTTGTTTAAATAATAATTAAAGGGTGCTGTGAAGTGCATTGTTTTTATGATTGTTGAAAATTAGGACACAGAGGTACGTCATTTTAAGTTTGTATAAAAAAAAATCGAAACTGTCAATATGACAAAGATGTCCGCTACATAATCTGAATAATAATTATATTTGTAATATAATTAATTTGAAAACCATAGATTAAAGTAATATACTGTATTAAAGGATACTTTTTAAATGTTTAAATCAATTTAATAACATCTTGTGTACCTATTTATTTAAATAGTAAACAAATAAAAACAATGTAATTTATAACTTTAATTAATTAGGTTTCTACCTTAGGAAAGGGTTATATATCTAAATTGTTTTAAGAGCAAGTACCTAAATATTTATTTTAAAGTGTTTTTACTGTCATCTTAATGTTAATTCCATTTGTTGACATGTATTTTTCAACCAGTCACTATTCTGTCATATTTTCACTTATCTATAGGTTATTTTAATAAATTTGCCTACATTAAGCTATGGAAAAGAGAATATATATGTTAATTAAAGTTAACATAATAACAAATGTATCAAAATCAAGATATCCATTGATAACTACTTATATAAAAATCATTAAATTTGTTTCATCTCTAATATACTTATTGATGACTGTTACTCCTTTTAATTATTGTTAGAAGGCTCTTCCGACTGTGATTATGCTTCCTACTTTCAGTAAATATATTTCTTATCTGTATATACATAATAATATTTCATAAAAAACATATTTTACATAATAAATGATAATATAATGTTAACTTTACAAAACTTCAAATAGTCAGCGAGTACTAAAGCTTGTTTCACTAGAAACATTTATAATATGTAATAGAGGTTGAGATAAACTCTTGAAACATTATTTTAATAAAATTGTGGATATTTCTATGGAGAAATTATTACTGGAGAGATCATCCCCCTTCTCTGTGCTAAATTTTGTAATAAACATCTACTTCCCCCCTAAGGGGAAATCCCTCTCCTGTAATTGGCTTATTTAATCAGCGTTGACAAGTTTGACAGCGCCAGTTTTGACACATGTCAATTTTTTGATTTGTATTTTATGAAAAATTTAATTATTTATAACGTTTTAAGATTTATTATCTCTAATAATATGGTGAAAACATGCTCTTATGTGTAAAAGAACTGTTGAAAATGCTTCTTTAAGATTATATAATAAGTAAGTACAAGCACAACTTAATTATTTATGTTTTTTCATTGTTTTTGAGTTTTTTTTTTTCAAAATTTACACTTTTTCTCAAATATCTCGAATGCAGTCCATTTTAGAGAAATTATGTATAGGATAAAAATTATAGAGAATTATATTACAAACAACTTTTATTTGAAGAATTTTTTTCTCTAAACATAACTAACAGATATATTCCAGAAAATATAAAAACGACCCCCTATAAAGTACCCCCCCAGATGTTACAACTATGACCAAAATTTAATCAGTTCATCTCAGGCCAAAATAAAGTTTAAGTTTAAAATTTGGTGGTTTTCTCTCTATCCATTTTTTTGTTTTCTTCAAAAATCGAAAGTTACACATTTTCTCAAATATCTCGAATACGGTCCATTTTAGAGAAATTATTATACGACAAAAATTATAGAGAATTTTATTACAAACAACTTTTATTTGAACAATTTTCTTAAAAATTTTATTTTTTTACATTTTGTGAAATTTCTTGAATACGGACCATTCTAGGAAAATGTTGTACAAAACCAAAAGTATAGAGAATAATATTAGAAGTAACTTTTATTTGACAAATTTTCTTCTCCAAACGTAAATAACAGATATATTCCAGAAAATATAAAAACGACCTCCTATAAAGTACCCCCCCAGATGTTCCAACTATGACCAAAATTTAATCAGTTCATCTCAGGCCAAAATAAAGTTTAAGTTTAAAATTTGGTGGTTTTCTCTCTATCCGTTTTTGAGTTTTCTTCAAAAATCGAAATTTACATATTTTCTCAAATATCTCGAATACGGTCCATTTTAGAGAAATTATGCATGGGACAAAAATTATAGAGAATAATATTAGAGGTAACTTTTATTTGAAGAATTTTTGTCTCCAATCATAAATAACAGATATATTCCAGAAAATATAAAAACGACCCCCTATAAAGTACCCCCCCAGATGTTCCAACTATGACCAAAATTTATTCAGTTCATCTCAGGCCAAAATAAAGTTTAAGTTTAAAATTTGGTGGTTTTCTTCTCTCTATCCATTTTTTTTTTCTTCAAAAATCGAAAGTTACACATTTTCTCAAATATCTCGAATACGGTCCATTTTAGAGAAATTATTATAGGACAAAAATTATAGAGAATTTTATTACAAACAACTTTTATTTGAACAATTTTCTTAAAAATTTTATTTTTTTACATTTTGTGAAATTTCTTGAATACGGACCATTCTAGGAAAATTTTGTACAAAACCAAAAGTATAGAGAATAATATTAGAAGTAACTTTTATTTGACAAATTTTCTTCTCCAAACGTAAATAACAGATATATTCCAGAAAATATAAAAACGACCCTCTATAAAGTACCCCCCAGATGTTCCAACTATGACCAAAATTTAATCAGTTCATCTCAGGCCAAAATAAAGTTTAAGTTTAAAATTTGGTGGTTTTCTCTCTATCCGTTTTTGAGTTTTCTTCAAAAATCGAAATTTACATATGTTCTCAAATTTCTCGATTACGGTCCATTTTAGAGAAATTATGTATGGGACAAAAATTATAGAGAATAATATTAGAAGTAACTTTTATTTGAACAATTTTCTTCTCAAAACGTAAATAACGGACATATTCCATAATATATAAAAACGACCCCCTATAAAGTACCCCCCCAAATGTTCTGACTATGACCAAAATCTAATTAGTTCATCTCAGGCCGAAATAAAGCTTAAGTTTAAAATTTGGTGGTTTTCTCTCTATCCGTTTTTGAGTTTTCTTCAAAAATCGAAATTTACACATTTTCTCAAATATTTCGAATACGGACCATTTTAGGAAAATTTTGTATAGAACAAAAATTATAGAGAATAATATTAGAAATAACTTTTATTTAAAAAAATTTCTTCTCCAAACGTAAATGACAGATATATTTCATAAAATATAAAAACGACCCCCTATAAAGTACCCCCCAGATGTTTCGGCTCTGCCCAAAATCTAATCAGTTTACTGCAAGCCGGAATAAAGCTTAAGTTTAAAATTTGGTGTTTTCCTCTTTATCTGTTTTTAAGTTATCTTCAAAATTCAAATTTACACTTTTTCACAAATATCTCGAATACGGTCCATTTTAGAGAAATTATTATAGGGTAAGAATTATACAGAATTTTATTACAAACAACTTTTATTTGAACAATTTTCTTAAAAATTTTATTTTTTTACATTTTGTGAAATTTCTTGAATACGGACCATTTTAGGAAAATTTTGTATATAACCAAAATTATAGAGAATAATATTAGAAGCAACTTTTATTTGAAAAATTTTCTTCTCGAAACGTAAATAACAGATATATTCTATAAAATATAAAAATTACCCCCTATAAAGTACCCCCCAGATGTTCCGACTCTGCCCAAAATCTAATAAGTTCACTGTAATCCAGAATAAAGCTTAAATATAAAATTTGATATTTTTCTCTTTATCTGTTTTTAAGTTATCATCAAAATTCAATTTTACACTTTTTCACAAATATCTCGAATACGGTCCATTTTAGAGAAATTATTATACGACAAGAAATATAGAGAATTATATCACAAACAACTTTTATTTAAACAATTTTCATAAAAACTTATTTTTTTTTTCATTTTGTCAAATTTCTTGAATACGGACCATTTTAGTAAATTTTTTTATAAAACAATAATTTAATCGACTAATTAATTTTAGATTGAAACAAAACGAACCTCAAAGATATGCATGGCGTACCCCAAATTATCAAAAACAGTTTTAAAATTCTTAATAAAACTATTCAGAGTCAAAAACATAAAAAATGAATCATTTAAAAAATTGGGACAATCTGTACACTGTGACAATCAGTATAATAATCTTATGAGCAATAAAAACTATAACTGTCAAAAAAAAATCAAAAAATAAACAAATTTAAACAATTAATATAACAATAAAATTACTTTGAAATATGAATTGTAAATAATTTGTAATAAGAATAAAATAAAGCAACCAGTGGCGTAACCAACCATTTTTTATTGGAGGGTTTTTTTGAGAACTATGGGGGGGAATTCCATTAAGAAAATTAATAAAAACAAACAGTCAATAGTGATAACAGAAATGATGAACTGAGGACCCTTCATGGGATGTGGGAATCTGTCCCCCCAAACCCGCCCCCTCCCTCGTGGCACGTCACTGAAAGTACCCATAACAAAATTCAAATTGCCATTATCATTAATTTGACTACTTAAAATAAATTAAATCAACATTAAAGAATCAAAATTTCATTATCAGAACACTGTAATAACTTTCTAAGGATAACATGTCCGCCATTTTTGATCCAATTAATTTTTTAAATTATAGAAATCTATAATCTTTTTCCACATCTCAGTATGGTTACTCTTTTTTAAATCTATTTTGTTTTCCAAATATTTCTTTACTTATATTCACTGCTTTATTCCTATTACATTTATATATTTGCCTGTTTTTCACTGATTTGTTAGTAATAAAGGTTTTATATCTAACACTATTCCTTTTTACTATGGATTTTTATGAAATGGTAGTTTTTTCCTACGCGTTACTATCATTCTGTCGGTATTGTATGGAAAAAAAAATGTTTGAGCATGGAAAATTGTAGTTATATATTTCTATTAATCTTTTCAAGAAGGATTTTGGGCAATTTAGCGTCAACCGCTGCAGTTGTATCTTCTGTTTATATATTACCTCATTCATAATCAGCATTGATGTGTTTAGGAAGATCATTAACATACAAGAGAAATGTTAGGGGCCCGAGAATAGACCCTTGTGGTACACCACGATCAACGTTTTTATGTTTGGATTTGTAATTTTCTCAAATATCTCGAATACGGACCATTTTAGGAAAATTTTGTATGGGACAAAAATTATAGAGAATAATATTAGAAATAACTTTTATTTGAAGAATTTTTTTCTCCAAACGTAAATAACAGATATATTTCATAAAATATAAAAATGACCTTCTATAAAGTACCCCCCCAAATGTTCCGACTCTGTTTAAAATCTAATCGGTTCATCTCAAGTCGGAATAAAGCTTAAGTTTAAAATGTAATGTTTTTCTCTTTATCCGTTTTTGAGTTTTCTTCAAAATTCCAAATTTGCACTTTTTCTTAAATATCTCAAGTACGGTCCATTTTAGGAAAATTTTGTATAATACAAAAATTATAGAGAATAATAAAAGAAGTAACTTTTATTTGAACAATTTTCTTCTCCAAACGTAAATAACAGATATATTCCATAAAATAAAAAAACGACCCTCTATAAAGTACCCCCCTAGATGTTCCGACTCTGCCCAAAATCTAATCAGTTCACTGCAAGCCGGAATAAAGCTTAAGTTTAAAATTTGGTGTTTTTTTCCTTATCCGTTTTTGAGTTTTCTTCAAAATTTTATATTTACACTTTTTCTCAAATATCTCGAATACGGTCCATTTTAAAGAAATTATGTATGTAACAAAAATTATAGAGAATAATATTAGAAGTAACTTTTATTTGAACAATTTTCTTCTCCAAACGTAAATAACAGATATATTCTATAAAATATAAAAATGACCCCCATAAAGTACCCCCCAGATGTTCCGACTCTGTCCAAAATCTAATCAATTTACCGCAGGCTGGAATAAAACTTGATATTTAAAATTTGGTGTTTTTCTCTTTATCCGTTTTTGAGTTTTCTTAAAAATTCGAAATAGACACATTTTCTCAAATATCTCGAATACGGTCCATTTTAGGGAAATTATGTATGGGACAAAAATTATAGAGAATAAAATTAGAAGTAACTTTTATTTGAACAATTTTCTTCTCCAAACGTAAATAACAGATATATTCTATAAAATATAAAAATGACCCCCATAAAGTACCCCCCAGATGTTCCGACTCTGTCCAAAATCTAATCAATTTACCGCAGGCTGGAATAAAACTTATATTTAAAATTTGGTGTTTTTCTCTTTATCCATTTTTGAGTTTTCTTCAAAATTCGAAATTTACACTTTTTCTCAAATATCTCGAATACGGTCCATTTTAGATAAATTATGTATGGGACAAAAATTATAGAGAATAATATTAGAAGTAACTTTCATTTGAACAATTTTCTTCTCCAAACGTAAATAATAGATATATTTCGTAAAATATAAAAACGACCTCCTATAGAGTACCCCCTAGATGTTCCGACTCTGTCCAAAATCTAATCAGTTCACCGTAGGCCGGAATAAAGCTTATGTTCAAAATTTGGTGTTTTACTCTTTATCCGTTTTTGAGTTATCTTCAAAATTCAAATTTACAAATTTTCTGAAATATCTTGAATACGGCCCATTTTAGAGAAATTATGTAAGGGATAAAAAATATAGAGAATTATATCACAAACAACTTTTATTTAAACAATTTTCTTAAAAAAATTGAATTTTTTACATTTTGTAAAATTTCTTGAATACGGACCATTTTAGGAAAATTTTGTACATAACAAAAATTATAGAAAATAATATTATAAGTAACTTTTATTTAAAGAATTTTCTTCTCCAAATGTAAATAACAGATATATTCTGTAAAATATAAAAATGGCCTCCTATAAAGTACCCCCCAGATGTTCCGACTCTGTCCAAAATCTAATCAGTTCACTGCAGGCCGGAATAAAACTTAAGTTTAAAATTTAATGTTTTTTTCTTTATCCGTTTTTGAGTTTTTTTCAAAATTCAAATTTACACTTTTTCTCAAATATCTCGAATACGGTCCATTTTAGAGAAATTATGTATGGAACAAAAATTATAGAGAATAATATTAGAAGTAACTTTCATTTGAACAATTTTCTTCTCCAAACGTAAATAACAGATATATTCTATAAAATATAAAAATGACCCCCCATAAAGTACCCCCCCAGATGTTCCGACTCTGTCCAAAATCTAATCAATTTACCGCAGGCTGGAATAAAACTTATATTTAAAATTTGGTGTTTTTCTCTTTATCCGTTTTTGAGTTTTCTTCAAAATTCAAATTTACACATTTTCACAAATATCTCGAATACGGTCCATTTTAGGGAAATTATGTATGGAATAAAAATTAGATTTTTTTACATTTCGTCAAATATTCGTATGCTCCGCCCTACTTTATGACGTCACGCCTCGATTATATGCGATGCACAAAATAACTTTAACCGATTTTAATCAGGTACATTGTTTCGCGGATCTGTTGACATATTGACCTCTCTTTTCGACTACAGGCTTTCGCGAAAACCTCTCGCGCTCGCCCAGAATAGCGCACCACAGAGACGCGATTAACCAAAACGCAATGGCGTACCAAAAATAGAGATTAACACGTAACAATATCAATAATATTATTTATATAAAACTTTCTTAAGACAATTTAGATTCTAATTTAGTTTGAAAATAAGTTAAAAATAGTATTTATTGTGTTCGTCTTTTGTTTCTTAGGCTCTTGATTTGATTCCAAACCCAGTAATTTGTAATAATTGTCGTACTGCTCTCAAATCGTCCTACGACTTTAAGTCGCGATGTTTATTCGTCGAAAAAAAGATCCAAAACTATATCGAAAGTCAGAATTACAATGAAAATCATCAGATCAATTATGATCTGAGTCAAATACCTTCAGACGACGTGCCCCCTCTGAATAAACTCGCTTTACTGATACCTAAAAACGATGCATCTGAACAAGATGAAGTCTCCATTCATCCTGAAAAGTTTCTCAAGGTAAGTGTAATAATAATAATAATAATAATAAAAAATTTGTATTTTTTTCCTGATAAATACCCATCTGTAGACTTTAATTTTTATAAAGACAACCTTACTACAACAAAAAAACAATTGTATTACTCATAGCTAGGAAACATTTTCGTAATCGTGATTTTAATGAGAACACGTCTGTCTAATATCGAAGCACAGACTTGCCTGGAGTTTTGTGTCGTCCGAAAGAAATAGATAAATATATGCCTACGTGACTGAAAACTAGTTCGCGAGCACAGGACCGTCTTTGATACATTTCAAACTATTTTGAAACACTACCAACAAATAATACTGATTATTTCAGATCCTGAATGGATAGTAAGTGTTAAATATTTTCAGATACAAAGCGACGATCCTGCCCAAATGTCCGATTCATCTAAAACCGAACCTGACAATTCAAATTCGAATACTCAGGCAAATGAAAATGAGGATGATGAAGAAGAGTCAACTTCCTCACTCATGTCTATAAATCCAGTTAAAAAATACCACAAACCAAGCAGAAATTATAGAGGGATATATCCAAGAAGTAGGATGAGCGTCTCGAGGCTATACACTGAAGACGAGTTTGTTTGTAATTTTTGCACTGAACCTTTTAGAAGTTTGCAGTTGTTGAGGAAGCATAATAATATATGTTCGAAATGTAAGTACAGAATGAATTTTCTCAGTATATTGTCGCTTTTAAATCAAAATTTACTGCATTTCCAAATATATTTTCTATGCTACAAACAATTTTGTTAAAAAAAAACTCAAAAATAAGAAACCTATAGTAATTTTTACGGTACTGTCTTAATGTGTTAAAATTTGTCATTCAAAAACAAATGTCCTTCCTACATGTCTTTCATAATGTTCCCACAGATTAATAAAAGTTCTGGTACTAGAATGGCCTCGTAAGGTAAAATGTTTACTGTACAATACCAATGCATACTTTTTTTAAGACACTGTATAAATAAGTGTGATTCATTAAAAAACAAAAAAAGTAAAAATTATAAATACCTAAACAAACTTTTTATTAAGCTTAATTTTTGATACACAAGTCCAAGCCCGAATTTATTATTTTTTTTAATTTTGTATCTTTGTTTAAAATATATTTATGAGACGACTTTGGTGAAGGGATACTGCACGTTTTCGTGGTGAAAAATTAATTAATAAAAAATTTGTAAAAATGTCATTTGGTAAAACGTTAAAAAATTAAGTTTTAATTATATCTAAAGGTCTTAGAGTATTTAAAAATTGTTTTTTAGGTATTCAATCTTATCTTTTTGAGTTTTTGAAAAAAGTTATTTGAAAAATGTTTTATTTTAAGGATTTTTCTAAACAGTTGAAAAAATATTAACTTAAATTTGAAGTTTTTTACATTTTGTGAAATTTCTCGAATACGGGCCATTTTAGGAAAATTTTGAATAGGATAAAAATTATAGAGAATAATATTTATAGTAACTTTTATTTGAAGAATTTTCTTCTACAAACATAAATAACCGATATATTCCATAAAATATAAAAACGACATTCTATAAAGTACCCCCCCAAATGTTCCGACTTTGTCCAAAATCTAATCAGTTCACTTCAGGCCGGAATAAAGCTTAAGTTTAAAATTTAATGTTTTTCTTTTTTTTCCTTTTTGTTTTTTTCAAAATTCGAAATTTATACATTTTTTTTTAAATATCTCTAATACGGTCCATTTTAGGAAAATTTTGTATGGGATAAAAATTATAGAGATTAATATTTAAAGTAACTTTTATTTGAAGAAATTTCTTCTACAAACATAAATAACCGATATATTCCATAAAATATAAAAACGACTTCCCATAAAGTACCCCCCCCAGATGTTCCAACTTTGTCCAAAATCTAATCAGTTCACTTCAGGCCGGAATAAAGCTTAATTTTAAAATTTAATGTTTTTCTCTTTATCCGTTTTTGAGTTTTCTTCAAAATTCGAAATTTATACATTTTTTCAAATATCTCTAATACGGACCATTTTAGGAAAATTTTGTATATGACAAAAATTATACAAAATAATATTAGACGTAACTTTTATTTGAAGAATTTTCTTCTACATACATAAATAACCGATATATTTCATAAAATATAAAAACGACCCTCTATAAAGTACCCTCCCAGTTGTTCCGACTCTGCCCAAAATGTAATCAGTTTACCTCAGCCCGGAATAAAGCTTAAGTTTAAAATTTTCCGTTTTTCTCTTCTTCTGTTTTTGAGTTTTCTTCAAATTTCGAAATTTACACATTTTCTCAAATATCTCGAATACGGTGCATTTTAGGACAAAAATTATAGAAAACAACATCAAAAACAACTAGTAGATATTGGTCGCCTTCAGCCCCATGTTATAGCCCTCCCTCTATGCTGCGCAAGCGCAGCCTCAGCTCTAAAGTTGACTAACCTACTGTATATCAAAAGAGTTGCCAACCTAGCAGTATTACCAACTAAAATGTTAACTATCTCCATTCGACTATCTCCATTTCTGATAGCATAGAAACAAAGAACGTGAAAACGTCGTTTTTCAACGTTTTCGACTTTTTTAGACGTTTTTTGACGGTTTTTCGACGTTTTTAAACATTTTCGACGTTTTGAACGAGACGATTAACACATGACGTTGACAATGTCAACTATCAAACATTATAGTGCGTTTCAAAACCATTCGAAAACGTGATTTTTTGACGTTTTAGGCGTTTTTGACGTTTTTATCGACATTTTTCAACATTTCGACGTTTATTTCGACGTTCTTTCGACATTTTTTAACATTTTAGACGTTTTTAACGTTGTGGGCTCCATAGGAGCAGGTGTGAAAGGTATCTATCATAACAAGCTGTCATTTAACGTACTGGTTTTAAAGACTTGCTCTGTACCAACTAATTACAGCCATCATAGTGCGTTTCGAACACGTCGTTTTCTACGTTTTTTGACATTTTTTACGTTTTTCGACGTTTTGTTTTATTGTTCGACGTTTTTCAACATTTTTGATGTTTTTTCGACGTTTTTTGATGTTTTTTCGACGTTTTTTGATGTTTTTTCGACGTTTTTTGAGGTTTTTTTCGACGTTTTTTAATGTTTTTTCGACATTTTTCAACATTTTCAACGTCTCCTGACGTAGTGAGCTCCAAAGGAGCAGGGGTGAAAGGTATCAATCATAACACAAGCTGTCATTTAACGTAATAATAGAGACCTGGTATTAAAGACTTACCAACGAATTACAGCGATGGAAACACAGTTGAAAGACTATTTTCAAATTCACAGATAGGTAGAACGTTTAAACGAGACGCTTGACACATGACGTTGACAATGTCATCTATCAAACATCAGTGTACGTTGGGAAAGCGTTCGAAAACGTTGTTTTTGACGTTTTTCGACATTTTTGTCGTTTTTTTCGACGTTTTTGACGTTGTGGGCTCCCAAGAAGCGGGATTGAAAGGTCGTTTTCGACTTTTTTGGACGTTTTTTTAACATTTTCGACGTTTTTGATGTTGAGGGCTCCGAAGGAGCAGGGGGTGAAAGGTTGTTTTCGACATTTTTGACGTTTTTTTCGACATTTTTGACGTTTTTTCGGCATTTTTGACGTTTTTTCGGCGTTTTACAACAGTTTCGACGTTTTTGACGTAATTACCAAATACATTTTATAAAATATAAAAATCCGTCGAAAAAAGTCATCATTTCTATACTTTCCTTATCTATATACAGAGAAATTTCAAAGTACTGTCATTCTTTTTAGTAAGGGTTTAATTAGAGGACAACCCCAAATCTAAAAATCATATTTTAAACTTGATCAAAATATTAAAAAAACATTCATTTCCTCAAAACTTTTTAAACCAACTCAACAAAGTACGGTCCTGGATCATACAGCACTTAGTGTAGCCGGGCAGCGCGGGTTGGTGATATCGTTCATTTGAGTTTGGCGAGACAGGTCCATACACAAAAATTTAAATAATTTTACTATTTATTTAAATATTTTTTATTCCCTTGTTTTGATTTTTTTTTTTAATTATATGAAGAAAAGTTTTATGTGTTGTTAAATACTTCGAAATCACCCTGTACAGATATAGAAAAGTAATAATATTTTTAATTTGATGAAATCATTTATTATTTTGAATCATGAAAATTGAAGGTGTATAACTATTTTTTTAGCAACACAACAAGAAGCAACGAAAAACATTCTAACTAAAAGACCGCATTTACCAACAAAAGCAAAAAACCATCTCAAAAAATGGTTATTCAAGCATACAGATGTAAGATATATACATACTATATATTTTTTTTGTACACCAATTAAACATTTCAAAACATTTTAAACAAACATTTCAACACATAATAAACATTTCAACACATAATAAACATTTCAACACATAATACACATTTCAACACATAATAAACATTTCAACACATAATAAACATTTCAATACATTTTAAACATTTCAACACATTTAAAACATTTTAAACAAACATTTCAACACATAATAAACAATTTCAACACGTTTAAAACATTTTAAACAAACATTTCAACACATAATAAACATTTCAAACATTTTAAACATTTCAACACGTTTAAAACATTTTAAACAAACATTTCAACACATTTAAAACATTTTAAACAAACATTTCAACACATAATAAACAATTTCAACACATAATAAACAATTTCAACACATTTAAAACATTTTAAACAAACATTTCAACACATAATAAATATTTCAACTCATTTTAAACAAACATTTTAAACATTTCAACACATTTAAAACATTTTAAACAAACATTTCAACACATAATAAACATTTCAACACATTTAAAACATTTTAAACAAACATTTCAACACATAATAAACATTTCAACTCATTTTAAACATTTCAACTCATTTTAAACATTTCAACAGATTTAAAACATTTTAAACAAACATTTCAACACATAATAAACATTTCAACGCATTTTAAACAAACATTTTAAACATTTAAGACATTTTAAACAAACATTTCAACACATAATAAACATTTCAACTCATTTTAAACAAACATTTTAAACATTTCAACACATTTAAAACATTTTAAACAAACATTTCAACACATAATAAATATTTCAACTCATTTTAAACAAACATTTCAACACATTTAAAACATTTTAAACAAACATTTCAACACATAATAAACATTTCAACTCATTTTAAACAAACATTTTAAACATTTCAACACGTTTAAAACATTTTAAACAAACATTTTAAACATTTCAACACGTTTAAAACATTTTAAACAAACATTTCAACACATAATAAACATTTCAACTCATTTTAAACAAACATTTTAAACATTTCAACACATTTAAAACATTTTAAACAAACATTTCAACACATAATAAATATTTCAATTCATTTTAAACATTTCAACACATTTAAAACATTTTAAACAAACATTTCAACACATAATAAACATTTCAACTCATTTTAAACAAACATTTTAAACATTTCAACACGTTTAAAACATTTTAAACAAACATTTCAACACATAATAAACATTTCAACTCATTTTAAACAAACATTTTAAACATTTCAACACATTTAAAACATTTTAAACAAACATTTCAACACATAATAAATATTTCAACTCATTTTAAACAAACATTTTAAACATTTCAACACATTTAAAACATTTTAAACAAACATTTCAACACATAATAAACATTTCAACGCATTTTAAACAAACATTTTAAACATTTCAACACATTTTAAACAAACATTTCAACACATAATAAACATTTCAACTCATTTTAAACAAACATTTTAAACATTTCAACACATTTAAAACATTTTAAACAAACATTTCAACACATAATAAACATTTCAACACATAATAAACATTTCAACGCATTTTAAACAAACATTTTAAACATTTCAACACATTTAAAACATTTTAAACAAACATTTCAACACATAATAAACATTTCAACGCATTTTAAACAAACATTTTAAACATTTCAACATATTTAAAACATTTTAAACAAACATTTCAACACATAATAAACATTTCAACTCATTTTAAACAAACATTTTAAACATTCAACACATATTAAACATTTCAACACATGTTAAACATTTCAATACATTTATTTTTTAGCATCCGTATCCGACGGATCAAGAAAAGCAAATGCTAATGAAGGAGACGAATTTGTCTCTACTACAAGTTGAAAATTGGTTCATCAATGCGCGTAGAAGAATTTTGCAAGACTTGACGAAGTTAAAAAGTCGAGGATTTCAAACTGGTAAGATTCAAATTGTCTTCTAAGCATAAATTATCAATCTCCTCTTAGTTGTAGATACTTTTCTATAAAAAAAACATAAAACTATAAAGGATGTCCCAATAAAACTACAGGAACTATTTTTTAGAATTCTATAATCGTTTTTTTAAGTAATTGAGATTCTATTATTTTAAACTAATATAAATTAAATTAAAAGTTAATTTGTCTTTCTATTATAGTCAGTTTGGTATTTTTTATTGCGACACCCAGTATATGGTTGTCGTTTAAAAGTGAAAAACAAAAAATTATTTAAATTATTTTCAGTTTTATCAAATACATAACAGCAATCAAAAAATTTGTAATTTGCAATTATTATTATTATTATTATTAATCAAAATATTATCTGAAATTTTTTGTTTGGCACAAAAATAGAAAAAAATAGAACATAAATATAATTAAAAAAAAAAAACGCAATTCATTAGTTGAAACCTTGGAATATAAAGTAGTGAGAAAAGATGGTTACGATAAGATCGTTTGACCTGGATACTTATTCAAGATGGCTACTTGGTATTAGTATTTACCAGTGGTGTATCGTATTTATATTGTTTGAAAGTGTAGTAATTTTGTTAAATTAAAAATTCAATCTTTTTAAAAGTGGATGATTATATTTTAGGATTTTTATAATTTAAAAAAAAATTCCAAATTTACGTTTTTTCTCAAATATCTCGAATACAGTCAATTTTAGAGAAATTATGTATGGAACAAAAATTATAGAGAATAATATTAGAAATAACTTTTATTTGAAGAATTTTTTTCTCCAAACGTAAATAACAGATATATTCCTTAAAATATAAAAACGACCCCCTATAAAATACCACTCCAGATGTTCCGACTCTGTCCTAAATTTAATCAGTTCATTTCAAGTCATAATAAAGCGTAGGTTTAAAATTTTATGTTTTTCTCTTTATCCGTTTTTGAATTATTTTCAAAATTCGAAATTTGCACCTTTTCTCAAATATCTCCAATACGGTCCATTTTAGGAAAATTTTGTATAGAACCAAAATTATAGAGAATAATATTAGAAGTAACTTTTATTTGAAGAATTTTCTTTTCCAAACGTAAATAACAGATATACTCCTTAAAATATAAAAACGACCCCCTATAAAATACCACCCCAGATGTTCCGACTCTGTCCTAAATTTAATCAGTTCATTTCAGGTCATAATAAAGCGTAGGTTTAAAATTTTATGTTTTTCTCTTTATCCGTTTTTGAATTATTTTCAAAATTCGAAATTTGCACCTTTTCTCAAATATTTTCAATACGGTCCATTTTAGGAAAATTTTGTATAGAACCAAAATTATAGAGAATAATATTAGAAGTAACTTTTATTTGAAGAATTTTCTTTTCCAAACGTAAATAACAGATATATTCCTTAAAATATAAAAACGACCCCCTATAAAATACCACCCCAGATGTTCCGACTCTGTCCTAAATTTAATCATTTCACCGTAGCCCGGAATAAAGCTTAAGTTTAAAATTTGGTGTTTTTCTCTTTATCCGTTTTTGAGTTTTCTTCAAAATTCAAAATTTACACTTTTTCTCAAATATCTCCAATACGGTCCATTTTAGGAAAATTTTATATTAAACAAAAATTATAGAGAATAATATTAAAAGTAACTTTTATTTGAAGAATTTTCTTTTCCGTACATAAATAATCGATATATTCTATAAAATATAAAAATGACCCCCTATAAAGTACCCTCCCAGAAGTTCCGACTATGCCCAAAATCTAATCAATTCAAAGCAGACCAGAATAAAGCTTAATTTTAAAATTTGGTGTTTTTCTTTGTATCCGTTCATGAGTTATTGAGGATACAGACACACACACAGACATCATCGCGAAAATAGTCAAAACGGATTCTGGGGACCTCAAAACGTAAAAAACTCGGGGAGGAAAAATATTTCCTTATCTGTGTTAATTTTATTTTTAAACTCATACTTCTCATCTAAATCATTGGTAAAGATTAAGAACAGTGGCGGCTCGTTAGCCAAAAATTTGGGGTTCACAATGAGAGAATATAAATTTCAGTACAGTTTTAGGTAAAAAACTTTCAATGTTTATAATACACCTTTTCAAAACACTGAAAGCTTTTTACCTAGATCTGAACTTAGACCTATATTCTCTTATTGTGAACCCCCATTTTTTTAGCTCACGAACCGCCACTGATTAGGAAATCATCCACGTATACAGCTACAATAATAATACTATTTATTACAATTTTAAAATATACACATTCTGATTCAACCTTTGACTTTAACAAACTAAAATCTTTTAGTGTAGATTCCACCTTTGACTTTACAAAACCAATATCTTTTAGTATAGATTCAACCTTTGACTTCACAAAATCAAAATGTTCTACTGTAGATTCAACCTTTGACTTTACAAAAACCGAAATATTCTACTGTAGATTCAACCTTTGACTTTACAAAACCAAAATCTTTTAGTGTAGATTCAACCTTTGACTTTACAAAACCAATATCTTTTAGTATAGATTCAACCTTTGACTTCACAAAATCAAAATGTTCTACTGTAGATTCAACCTTTGACTTTACAAAAACCAAAATCTTCTACTGTAGATTCAACCTTTGACTTTACAAAACCAAAATCTTTTAGTTCGAAACCCTAGACGCTTGTTTTAACCATTGCTTTCTTCAACATACTTATTTTATGTTCATCCTCTGGGGCAACCAAACCTTTAAAATCTTTTAGTGTAGATTCAACCTTTGACTTTACAAAACCACAATCTTTTAGTGTAGATTCAACCTTTGACTTTACAAAACCAATATCTTTTAGTATAGATTCAACCTTTGACTTTATAAAATCAAAATCTTTTACTGTAGATTCATCCTTTGACTTTACAAAATCAAAATCTTTTGCTGTAGATTCAACCTTTGCCTTAACAAAACCAAAATCTTTCTTTAAGTGTAGATTCCACCTTTGACTTTATAAAACCAAAATCTTCTACTGTAGATTCAACCTTTGACTTCACAAAATCAAAATCTTCTACTGTAGATTCAACCTTTGACTTTATAAAATCAAAATCTTTTACTGTAGATTCAACCTTTGACTTCACAAAATCAAAATCTTCTACTGTAGATTCAACCTTTTACTTTATAAAATCAAAATCTTTTACTGTAGATTCAACCTTTGACTTCACAAACTCAAAATCTTCTACTGTAGATTCAACCTTTGACTTTATAAAATCAAAATCTTTTACTGTGGATTCAACCTTTGACTTTACAAAACCAAAATCTTTTAGTATAGATTCAACCTTTGACTTTATAAAATCAAAATCTTTTAGTGAAGATTTAACCTTTGACTTTACAAAACTAAAATATTTTAGTGTAGATTCAACCTTTGACTTTACAAAACCAGAATCTTTTAGTGTAGAATCAACCTTGGACTTTACAAAACCAAACTATTTTAGTGTAGATTCAACCTTTGACTTTACAAAACTAAAATCTTTTAGCGTACAACTCCTAGACGTTTGTTTTAAGTCATAAATTGCTTTTTCCATCATACATTTTTTATGTTTATGACCTGGGACAATGAAACCTTTGTGTTATTCTATAAAAATAATTGTTTTTTCTCTTTACTACTTTATATTCTAAGGTTTCTAATTTAAACCCAACCTTTTTGTAACCTTCTCTCGAACCTTGACACATTGACGCATCCTTCCAAGAAATATTTTCTTTTAGAAGACATAAACGACTCTCCTTTAGGTTTGGAAATGGACTTCGAAGAACTGGTTCCCCCAAATTCAGTAAGAAAAGCATCAATGCTCCACGCAGATCCACTAGACAGTCCCGTAGTTACCCGAAATACTTACGGGAAAGCAAAAAGAATCAAACCAGACCCGTCGGAAAGCGTCGCTGAACCGACGGAGGAAGTTATGTTACCGGGTCCTCCGGAAGACATGTTGAAAGAAGAGGAAGAGGATATCGAAGAGGAATTGGTGGATTTGGCGAAAGTTAAATGCGAAACGGTGGATAATCGGTAACTTAAAGAATTAGGAATGCATTAAGGAGTACATGACTGATTTTTTTTATTTTGAAAGGTTTAAAATTATGCAGTGTATTGTTGATTGCTAATCAAGAATGTAATAGATTCAACCTTTGACTTTACAAAACCAAAAAATATTTTAGTGTAGATTCAACCTTTGACTTTATAAAACCAAAATCTTTCTTTAAGTGTAGATTCAACCTTTGACTTTATAAAACCAAAATCTTTTACTGTAGATTCAACCTTTGACTTTACAAAACCAAAATCTTTTACTGTACATTCAACCTTTGACTTTACAAAACCAAAATCTTTCTTTAAGTGTAGATTCAACCTTTGACTTTTCAAAACCAAAATCTTTCTTTAAGTGTAGATTCAACCTTTGACTTTTCAAAACCAATATCTTTTACTGTAGATTCAACCTTTGACTTTACAAAATGGAAAGAATTTAATTTGATCAAAAGTTTATTTCATCGTTTTCTATGTAATACTATATTTTTTTTTTATTTAGTTCTTCATTTTACTATCCTACTAATATATAAGTGCGAAAGTTTGGATGGATTGAGGGGGGTGGGAGGGATGGAAGATTGTTGCTAAAGAGGGAGGGAGAGATGATTGTTGCTCAAGAGGGAGGGAAGGAGAAAAGGAGGAATGGATGGATAATTGTTGCTCAAAAGAAAGGGAAGGTGGGAGGGATGGTTGGATGATTGTTGCTTAAGTGGGAGGGATGATTGTTGCTTAAGAGGGAGGGATGATTGTTGCTAAAGAGGGAGGGAGGAATGGATGGATGATTTGTTGCTCAAGAGAGAAGAATGGATGGATGATTGTTGCTTAAGACAGAGGGAAAGAGGGATGATTGTTGCTTAAGAGGAAGGGATGATTGTTGCTTAAGAGGGAGGGATGATTGTTGCTAAAGAGGGAGAAATGGATGGATGATTGTTGCTCAAGAGGGTGGTGGGAAATGGATGGATGATTGTTGCTTAAGATGGAGGAATTGATGGTTGTTGCTCAAGAGGGAGGCATGTATGGATGATTGTTGCTTAAGAGGAAGGGGCGAATAATTGTTGCTCAAGAGGGAGGAAGGAATGGGTGGATGGGGGTGGGAGGGAGGAGTGAGTAGATGGAGGGAGGGATGGATGGATGGATGGATGGATGGATGGATGGATGGATGGATGGATGGATGGATGGATGGATGGATGGATGGATGGATGGATGGATGGATGGATGGATGGATGGATGGATGGATGGATGGATGGATGGATGGATAGATGGATGATCATGCCAGAATGACTTAACAGATCTGGATCAAATTTGGCACGGGTTTTAGGTTTTTTGAATTTTCATATTTTAATAAAGGAAAGGGCGGAAAGGAAGGAAGGGGGAAAATTGGAAGGGGGAGAGTGAAAGTTTGTATATGAGTATCGATTTTTTAAAATTACTTTTTAATTAATTTTTATTAGTTTTTATTAATTTGAATTAATTTTTTTTTAGTTTTTATTAATTTTTAATAATTTTTTTATTATTTTTGAATAATTTTTAGTATATTTTTTTTATTTATTTTTATTATTATATATTTTACGATACTTTCTATTCCCCCCTCTTTCCTAAAAAGAGATGAGACTTAACTTTACGAAGTGTGATATCTCGATAATCCTCAAATATTTTAGTCACTTGTGAGACATCAAAAGACTAGAAATTTTTCGATCTTTCCAAAAAATGAAAAATCCAATATGGCTCCCATAAGAAAAATGAAAGTTGAGCCGAATTGCGTGATAACAAAAGACGATCGAGACATGTTATACACGCTATCTTATTCGTCTTAAAAAAGCGTCCGTATAATGTCACATTTTGACAGCTGTCAAATTATTCGTTTTGGATTTACAGGCGAAAAACGAAATCCGCCGTTAAGATTAGTAATATAATCCCTCTTTCCTTAAAAAAGATGAGACCTAACTTTACGAAGTGTGATATCTCGATAATCCTCAAATATTTTAGTCACTTGTGAGACATCAAAAGACTAGAAATTTTTCGATCTTTCCAAAAAATGAAAAATCCAATATGGCTCCCATAAGAAAAATGAAAGTTGAGCCGAATTTCGGGATAACAAAAGACGATCGAGACATGTCATACACGCTATCTTATTCGTCATAAAAAAGCGTCCGAATAATGTCACATTTTGACAGCTGTCAAATTATTCGTTTTGGATTTACAGGCGAAAAACGAAATCTGCCGTTAAGATTAGTAATATAATCCCTCTTTTCTTAAAAAAGATGAGACCTAACTTTACGAAGTGTGATATCTCGAAGACACTCAAATCTTTTAGGCACTTGTGAGACATCAAAAGACTAGAAATTTTTCGATCTTTCCAAAAAATGAAAAATCCAATATGGCTCCCATAAGAAAAATGAAAGTTGAGCCGAATTGCGGGATAACAAAAGACGATTGAAACACGTCGTACACGCTATCTTATTCGTCTTAAAAAAGCGTCCGAATAATGTCACATTTTGACAGCTGTCAAATTATTCGTTTCGAATTTACAGGCAAAAAATGAAATCCGCCGTTAAGATATGTCGAAGAATAACCTCTTCACTTTCCTGGAATCAAATTTCTTTCAATTTCGCGCTAGTAGACCTAGATATGATTTTTGCTGCTTCATTTTCCCAGTTTCTCCCTCGGCGTCTTGTAGTCCATCAGTTAATGCTCTTGTATGCCGATTTGTTCTTGGAAATCTTTGGACTCGAATTCCTGTAGACTCTCATTATATTTCTGACTACGAGCCTTTAAAATACCAGTTTTAAATGCTGCTGGCTATACCTTGTCTCCAAAGCTTCTACGAGAGGCGAATAACTGTGTTTCTCTTGGGGAAGTAACTATAAAACGGTTGCTGTCTGTCCTCACAAAGACACCATCAATGAAGCCACCATCTTTTTCTCTGCCCAGCCATTGGCTTTAGCTGCAGCTTCAAATTAGAGTCGTTTCGTTTCCCATGTTGTCTGACCATTAAACTGGGTATTGAAGGTGGTTTGGTTCGGTTATAGTTGAAGATAATTTAGTATCCTCAGCTTCAATGTTGCTAACCGAAGCTAGGCTACGAATTCCTTATTCTAACTCAACTATTTTGGTTCTAATTTACTGTTCCAACTCTACTCCAGCCTACACCATCAATGAAGCCACCATCTTTTTCTCTGCCCAGCCATTGGCTCTAGCTGCAGCTTCAAATTAGAGTCATTACGTTTCCCATGTTGTCTGACCATTTAACTGGGTATTAAAGGTTGCTAGGTTCAGTTATAGTTGAAGGTGAGGTAGTATTTTCAGCTTCAATGTTGCTAACCGAAGCTAGGCTACGAATTCTTCATTCTAACTCAACTATTTTGGTTCTTATTTACTGTTCCAACTCTACTCCAGCCTACACCATCAATGAAGCCACCATATCTTTCTCTGTCCAGCCATTGGCTCTAGCTGCAGCTTCAAATTAGAGTCGTTTCGTTTCCCATGTTGTCTGACTATTAAACTGGGTTTTGAAGGTTGCTAGGTTCAATTATAGTTGAAGATGAGGTAGTATTTTCAGCTTCAATGTTGCTAATCGAAGCTAGACTACGAATTCTTCGTTCTAACTCATTTATTTCAGTTCTAATTTGTCTTTCTAACTCTACTTCAGCTTTTTCCAGTTGTTGCTCTATATTAGATTTTAAAATATCTTGTTGCTGTTCTAAATTAGTTTTTAAATATTTCTTGTTGTTGTACTACAAGATCTAATTGAATGTTAAGCTGTCCAATCTCTTGGTTGAAAGTTTCTTGGATTTGTAACAAATCTTTCATAATTTCCTTCTCTTATTCTCGCCATTTTTTTCAATCTTCTCCTTCCTTTCTGCACCTTTCTTTTCTCTTCTTCCATCTTCAAAAATCATGCTGTGGAACCTAAAGTATCCATGCTTGTTGTGTTTGATTATGGAGTGCAATAAATGAAATATTTAGCGTCAAATATACGCTGCATAATTTTTTGTGTACTTTAATTATTAAACTTGACGAATACAAATTTTATTTAAAAAAAATTTCGGTGAGGTTGGGTGTAGATATATTTTTTTAAATCTCTTAAATGTTTTTTGTTAAGAAAATTAAATTAAACTAATATTAAGTTGCGACCTTCAACGAGTTCTCTTATAAAGAATGTTTATAATTATAAATATACAAGAATCAAATGACAAAAATTGATGTGACACGTTTTTATAATGTACAATATTTAGGAAATTAAGAAATGAAATTAAAAATTTTCTTTCGTTGGTCCAATTTGCCCCATTGGAAAAATTTATTCTTGATAAAACCTTCTGCATGGTTCGAAACTTAAAATGCAACTAACAGATATTAATTTTTTTAAACAGTATACGAGGTTTGTCAAAAAGTATGATTTTGTTATAAGTAAAGTAGCTTTATTTTTGACGAAACCTCGTATATGACTGGTAAAATTTGATATCCGATGGTTGTATTTTAGGTTTTAGACCATGCTCGAGATTTTATGAAGAATAACTTTTTTCTCTAATATTAATAATAAAAAAGTTATTCTTCATAAAAAGTCGAACATATTTAGGAAATTAAATTTCCTTACGTTGTTCAGATTTGCCCCATTTCAAACTTTTTTATTATCGATTTTGTGAAAAAATTTATTCTTGATAAAACGTTCTGCATGGTTTGAAATTTAAAATGCAACTAACAGATGTTAATTTTTTTAAGTTGTATACGAGGTTTGTCAAAAAGTATGATTTTTGTTGTAAGTAAAGTAGCTTTATTTTTGACGATACCTCGTATACGACTGGTAAAATTTGATATCCGATGGTTGTATTTTAGGTTTTAGACCATGCTCGAGATTTTATGAAGAATAACTTTTTTCTCTAATATTAATAATAAAAAAGTTATTCATAAAAAGTCGAACATTTCAATTAAATTAAGAAATGAAATTTTCTTTTACTGGTCAAATTTGCCCCATTTCAAACTTTTTTATTATCGATTTTGTGAAAAAATTTATTCTTGATAAAACGTTCTACGTGGTTTGAAACTTAAAATGCAACTAACAGATATTATCTTTTTTAAACAGGTTTATCAAAAAGTATGATTTTCGTGTTAAATAAAGTATCTTTATTTTTGACGATACCTCGTATATGACTGGTAAAATTTGGTATCCGATGGTTATATTTTAGGTTTTAGACCATGCTCGAGGTTTTATGAAGAATAACTTTTTTCTCTAATATTAATAATAAATAAGTTATTCTTCATAAAAAGTCGAACATATTTAGGAAATTACATTTTCTTACGTTGGTCAAATTTGCCCCATTTCAAACTTTTTTATTATCGATTTTGTGAAAAACTTTATTCTTGATAAAACGTTCTGCGTGGTTCGAAACTTAAAATGCAACAAAGAGATATTAATTTTTTTAAACCGTATACGAGGTTTGTCAAAAAGTATGATTTTTGTTGTAAGTAAAGTATCTTTATTTTTGACGATACCTCGTATACGACTGGTAAAATTTGATATCCGATGGTTGTATTTTAGGTTTTAGACCATGCTCGAGATTTTATGAAGAATAACTTTTTTCTCTAATATTAATAATAAAAAAGTTATTCTTCATAAAAAGTCGAACATATTTAGGAAATTAAATTTTCTTACGTTTGTCAGATTTTCCCCATTTCAAACTTTTTTATTATCGATTTTGTGAAAAAATTTATTCTTGATAAAACGTTCTACGTGGTTTGAAACTTAAAATACAACTAATAGATATTATCTTTTTTAAACAGTATACGAGGTTTATCAAAAAGTATGATTTTCGTGTTAAATAAAGTATCTTTATTTTTGACGATACCTCGTATATGACTGGTAAAATTTGATATACGATGGTTGTATTTTAGGTTTTAGATCATGCTCGAGATTTTATGAAGAATAACTATTTTCTCTAATATTAATAATAAAAAAGTTATTCTTCATAAAAAGTCGAACATAATTAGGAAATTAAATTTTCTTACGTTGGTCAAATTTGCCCCATTTCAAACTTTTTTATTATTGATTTTGTGAAAAAATTTATTCTAGATAAAACGTTCTGCGTGGTTTGAAACTTAAAATGCAACTAACAGATGTTAATTTTTTTAAACAGTATATACGAGGTTTGTCAAAAAGTATGATTTTTAGGTTTTAGACCATGCTCGAGATTTTATAATAAAAATTTAGCGCAGCTTCTTCCAATATCAATATAGAAAGTTGTTTTTTGAAAATTTTTATTTACTACGACGACATAAAGAACAAACTGTATCTATTTTGAAAAATATAATTAATAGTTTGTTCTTCTAAAGAAAAACTTTTGTTTTTTCATCTCTGTATTTATTCTAGTTACTGTTCCTGCTTACTCATTTACGGCGACATTTTTTATATTTTTATTTTGATATAGTATTTTTTTATTTTTAAAGTTTTATTACGTTTGTATATCAAACTATCTGTTACGTATTTATTAGAATAATGACTGTACATAAATAAAATAAAAATAATTTTAAGACTGATATTTTTTGTTTCCTTAAACCTATCGATTTCGGAAATCCATCAAAAATAATAGAAGATCTTTGTTGGGTTCACAACTGGTTATCGAACTTGATCTTTCTGTCTAATTTTTAACAAATTCTCTTTCTGTGCCATTAGAATCTAAATTGCAACTTTTTAAACATTTTCCCGTCAAAATTTGCCATTAAAATGGTCATAAAATTTAACTTTTGACAAATTTTCAACCATTTTTAAAATATCCATTTTCCCGCCATTTTTTAAAATATCCCTTTTTCCGCCAGTATAAAAATATCCATTTCCCGCCATTTTTAAAATATCCTTTTCCCGCCATTTTTTAAAATCTTTCTTTTTTGACATTATAAAAATATACTCTTTCCCATCTTTTTTAAAACATCCATTTTCCCGCCATTTTTAAAATATCCCTTTTCCCGCCATTATAAAAATATCCATTTCCCGCCATTTTTAAAATATCCCTTTCCGCCATTTTTTAAAATCTTCCCTTCCTGGCATTATAAAAAATATCACCTTTCGCGCTCTTTTTAAAATATCCATTTTCCCGCCATTTTCAAAATATCCCTTTTCCCGCCATTATAAAATATCAATTTTCCCGCCATTTTTAAAATATCCCTTTTCCCGCCATTATAAAATATCAATTTTCCCGCCATTTTTAAAATATCCCTTTTCGACATTTTTTAAAATCTTCCTTTCTTGGCATTATAAAAAATATCCATTTCCCGCCATTTTTAAAATATCCCTTTCCCGCCATTTTTTAAAATCTTCCTTTCTTGGCATTTAAAAAAATATCATCTTTCCCGCCATTTTTAAAATATCCATTTTCCCGCCATTTTTAAAATATCCCTTTTCCCGCCAGTATAAAAATATCCCTTTCCCGCCATTTTTTAAAATCTTCCTTTCTTGGCATTATAAAAAATATCCATTTTCCCGCTATTTTTAAAATATCCCTTTTTCCGCCATTATTAAAATATCAATTTCCCGCCCATTTTTAAAATGTCCCTTTCCCGCCATTTTTTAAAATCTTCCTTTCTTGACATTATAAAAAATATCATCTTTCCCGCCTTTTTTAAAATATCCATTTTCCGCCATTTTTAAAATATCCCTTTTCCCGCCATTATAAAAACATCCATTTCCCGCCATTTTTAAAATATCCCTTTCCCGCCATTTTTTAAAATCGTCCTTTCCTGGCATTAATATCATCTTTCCCGCTATTTTTAAAATATCCATTTCCCGCCATTTTTAAAATATCCATTTTCCCTCCATTATAAAAATATCAATTTTCCCGCCATTTTTAAAATATTCCTTTCCCGCCATTTTTTTAAATCTTCCTTTCCTGGCATAAAAAAATATCCTCTTTCCCGCCATTTTTAAAATATCCATTTTCCCGCCATTTTTAAAATATCCCTTTTCCCGCCATTATAAAAATATCAATTTTCCCGCCATTTTTAAAATATCCCTTTTCCCGCCATTATAAAAATATCAATTTCCCGCCATTTTTAAAATATCCATTTTTCTCGCCATTATAAAAATATCCATTTCCCGCCATTTTTTAAAATCTTCCTTTTTTGACATTATAAAAATATCCTCTTTCCCGCCATTTTTAAAATATCTATTTTCCCGCCATTTTTAAAATATCCATTTTCCCGCCATTTTTAAAATGTCCATTTATCCGTCATTTTTTTAAAAAAGGTCGCCTTTCCCGCCTTTTTAAAATGTATATTTTCTCGCCATTTTTTTAAATCTTCCTTTCTTGGCATTATTAAAAATATCCTCTCTCCCGCCATTTTTAAAATATCCATTTTCTCGCCATTATAAAAATATCCATTTTCCCGCCATTTTTTGAAATCTTCTTCTTTACATTATAAAAAATATCCTCTTTCCCGCCATTTTTAAAATATCCATTTTCCCGCCATTTTTAAAATATCCATTTTCCCGCCATTTTTAAAATATCCCTTTCCCACCATTTTTTAAAATCTTCCTTTCTTGGCTTTATAAAAAATATCCCCTTTCCCGCCATTTTTAAAATATCCATTTTCCCGCCATTATAAAAATATCCATTTCCCGCCATTTTTTAAAATCTTCCTTTTTTGACATTATAAAAATATCCTCTTTCCCGCCATTTTTAAAATATCTATTTTCTCGCCATTTTTAAAATATCAATTTTCCCGCCATTTTTAAAATGTCCATTTATCCGTCATTTTTTTTAAAAAGATCAGAGAGAAAATAAAAATTTTCCATACCTCGTCGCTTTTTTGTTATCCTGGTACAAAGTTCCGAATTCGAAAAGATCCAATTTCGTCAAAGAAATGTTAGTATTGGGATAACAGAAAAGCGAGATGGTATTTAAGAAAAAAGGAAATTTGGTTCCATAATCAAATAATCGTAAAATTTAGGGTAACGCAATTCGACGAATTTTTGAATGTGAATAACTGCTAAACTGTTCAAGATAGAAACCAGCGGTTTTGAGCATTATAAACTATCCCTTTTGCTCTTCCATTTTGTGAATTTATGGAATAATTCGTTCATTATTAACTGGGAAAAAAGGAAAAAAAAAATAAACCCTTACAGATAGAAAGCAACTGAGTTCACCCCTTAATTACTCGTGCTTTCTTTTATATGTACCCCAATGTTCATCAAGATCGGAGACTTAAAAAATTTAGAAAAAAATAAAAAACTGTTTAAATTTGCATACGGATAGAGGGTCACATGTAGATCTAAAATTTGGAAGGCTATACTAGACTGGGCCAAAAAAATAACTATTTTTTTTTTTTTTTTGAAAGATATATCGAGAATATCATTCAGAATGATAAAAAAAAAATTCGTGAAAATTTGAGCCCTTAATATTAATTTTAAGAGGTCTATCATCGCTATTTTTGATTTTTTGTCATAATTTGATGTTTTACGTTAGAAACATTAAAGTGAAAAAAATTCCTTTTCACTTATTCTGATATAAAATTAAATTCTCTACGAAAATGGTCTGATTGAAAATTTTCGTCAGACGAGCTGTTTCCAAGTAATTTCGTAACTAATAAATAACTTTTGAAGAATTAAATTTAGGCAAAAATATTAAGAGACCTTTTTTTAGAACATTAATTTTCCTTTAAGAATCCGACGTGGGCTTTTTTAAATATGCATTGATTCATTAGTTACGAAATTACTCGAAAACGGCTCGTCTGACAAAAATTTTAATAGGGCCTTTTTTGTAGAGAATTTAATTTTACATAAGAATAAGTAAAACGGATTTTTTTTCACCCTAATGTTTTGACAGTTCTAACGTAAAACATCAAATTATGACTTAAAATCAAAATAGCGATGATAGACCTCTTAAAATTAATATTAAGGGCTCAAATTTTTAGGAAATTTTTTTTTCATTATTCTGAATGATATTCTCGATATATCTTTCAAAAAAAAAAAATTGTTATTTTTTTGGCCCAGTCTAGGCTATCGATTTCCCTTTCGATTTTTTTGAAGAAATAAAAAAATCGTTTAAATTTGCATACAGATAGAGGGTCACATGTAGATCTCAAAAATACACTCAGTTTTTTTCTAACAGCAATATTAAAAAAGTTGTGGCAAAAATAAAAATGTTCGATATCTCCTCGCGTTTCTATTATCCTGATACAAAGTTCCAAATTCGAAAGATCCAATTTTGTCTACAAAATTTTGGTATGAGGATAGCAGAAATGCGACAAGGTATTTGACGTATTTTTAAATGCGAATAACTACTAAACGGTTCAAGATAGAGGCAAGCGGCGAAGGGCATTTTAAACTATCCGTCCGGCTCTACCTTCATGTGAATTTATGGAATAATTCGATCATTATTAACTGAGGAATTGAGAAAAAAAAAGTTAACCTTTATAGCTAGGGAGCAAGTGAGTTTACCCCTTAATTGCTCGTGCTTTCTTTTATATGTTCCCCAATTTTCATCAAGATCGGAGACAAAAATTTTTTTTGTCAAAAAATTTGGAAGTATAACCCTTTCGATTTTTTTAGAAAATTATTTTTGTTTAAAAATCTGCATACGTATAGAATGCAACATCCGAAACTCAAAAAAATACTCAGTTTTTGTCTAAGAGCAATAATTTAAAAGTTGAAGTCAATTTAGCAAAAAGTATCGAAGATAAAGAGAAGCAGACACCTGCCGGACATTTTAAATTAAATACTGTAACGTTGTGCCAAATTTCATGAAGATAAGAGAGAAAATAAAAATTTTCCATACCTCGTCGCTTTTCTGTTATCCTGGTACAAAGTTCCGAATTCGAAAAGATCCAATTTTGTCTGCAAAATTTTGGTATAAGGAGAGCAGAAACGTGTCAAGGTATTTGACTTATTTTTAAATGTGAATAATTACTAAACGGCTCAAGATAGAGGCAATCGGCGAAAGGCATTTTAAACTATCCATCCGGCTCTACCTTCACCTGAATTTATGGAATAATTCGATCATTATTAACTAAGGAATTGAGAAAAAAAAGTTAAATCTTTATAGCTAGGGAGCAACTGAGTTCACCCCTTAATTGCTCGTGCTTTCTTTTATATGTACCCCAATTTTCATCGAGATCGGAGACAAAAAAATGTTTTGTCAAAAATTTTGGAAGGCTATACCCTTTCGATTTTTTTGAAGAAATAAAAAATAGTTTAAATTTGCATACGGATAGAGGGTCACATGTAGATCTCAAAAATACACTCAGTTTCTTTCTAACAGCAATATTATAAAAGTTGTGGCAAAAATAAAAATGTTCGATATCTCCTCGCGTTTCTATTATCCTGATACAAAGTTCCAAATTCGAAAAGATTCAATTTTGTCTGCAAAATTTTGGTATAAGGAGAGCAGAAACGCGACAAGGTATTTGACTTATTTTTAAATGCGAATAACTACTAAACGGCTCAAGATAGAGACAAGTGGCATAGAGCATTTTAAACTATCCGTCCGGCTCTACCTTCATGTGAATTTATGGAATAATTCGATCATTATTTACTAAGGAATTGAGAAAAAAAAGTTAACCTTTATAGCTAGGGAGCAACTGAGTTCACCCCTTAATTGCTCGTGCTTTCTTTTATATGTACCCCAATTTTCATCAAGATCGGAAACAAAAAAATGTTTTGTCAAAAAATTTGG